ATTGAAACAAAGCAAGAAATCATCAGGAGTGAAAGTTGACAAAAACTTCCTTGTCAAATGGGGAGAGGTTCAGGAGTTTACCAACATTCATTATCCAGAGCTGAGGCCAACAGGATCTTTACAATGACACCCTTGCCGGTCATTTCCGACAGGTGTTGAAAAAGAGAAACAGACCACCCTGGACATGATTTTCAAGAAGCCAGCTGCCAAATAGCAAAGGATGGAACAAGAGGAGTTGACCCTGCAAGCTCTGGTAGCCTCTCCTGAATCTGACACCGATTAAAAAACAATAAAAAGAGACCTGCTGCAATGTGTAAAAAGTCTATCTGTATGAATGTGTGAAGAAAGTGAAGAAAGTGTTCCTCCACCTCCTCCTCACAACATCTGACTACCCGGCATAATTGGTGACTGCTCCATTTTTATTTTTTATAGTACAGTACGGTTATTTTATGCTGCGGAACGAATTATATGTTTTAACATGTATTTCTATGGGAAAATGAGTTTCGTATAACGGACTTTTCACTTAACGGTCCGTTAAGTGAAAAGTCCGTTATACGAACGGATTAAGTACTGTACGTTATACGAGGCACCACTGTATTTCCATTTCTCGACGTTTCAAGGTCCTAAATCCAAGAATATAAAAATCTTGGGTGTTATTTTTTCGACATAAAATTCACCAGACTTTTCCTTCCCACTTTTGCATGAACACAACCAGAGAGAAACAAAGTACTCCTGTAGGTCCTTAAAGTACCTAATTCGCTTTGTTTTCTGCATAAATTCAGCCTTATCAGAGCTATGGACCATGCCAATAGAGTAAAAAAAAAAGTAAATGGAACGTATAACCCTTCACGAGATAGGCTATATTTGGAATTTGAACACTCAAAAATGAAATCTTCACAGCAAAAATATAAAAGTGAAAAAATATTTTTCAAAACAATGCTAAAAACCAACTGTCCACTATACTAGAGAAAACTGCTAACACGAGAAACGCTGTTGTACCGAATACTTCCGGAGCGCTGAGCACTCCATTAAAATCGTACTTATACGCAAAGGGCACGAAAGCAAAGAGCAAACGAAGCTAATTTCGTTCATATTGCAAGTTGTGGTAAATGCGATCGTGAGTTGTAGTTTCGAACTTCTCTTCAAGCCTTTTCTCTCTTACAGCCATGTTATACAAAATAGGTCTTTTCTCAATTTCTAAAAACTTATGTCGTCCTCCCAGCTTGTCTCGTTCGTCTTCCCCCTGCTGAGAGTCGAAAGTTATTATATATTTCTAAGGTTCACACTTAAACCATCGGTTCCTTTCACGTCTCTTTTTTACTTTTATGGGCATAGATAGACCCTTGTTCATAAGAGTAAAAAACAGCCCGATTCACAGCTACAATTTTACACCTAAATGAAAACGATTACAGTAGAGCGTCGTTTATCCGAAGGAATTCCAGTCGACAAATTTAAATTTTCGCCAGTGCTGTGGCGCTGTAATCTTTGGCTATGTCTTCGGCTACTCAAATATTTTACGTTTTTGATACTAAATTAACTTCTGAAGTATAATTTTTTATTGTTTTTATATTTTTCAATATATTTATTTTGTTCGTACAAAATAAAAAAATAATTTTTAACGATACAATAGTCTTTGTTAGGCTTAACATCGATGAAAATTCAACACGAGCGACACGCAACGGAGAAAAATTTCAACATGGGATAAATTAATATATTTTTTCATACATGATTCATTATCCGAAAAATAAGTTATCCGAACCACCCCAGTCCCCAATTGATTCGGATAAATGACGCTCTACTGTATTATAAAATTTTGCTATGTTTCTTACTTCAAAAACTTTATTGTTGTTAAGAAAAAGTTCTTAGTTTGCCAGCTGATATAGCTGTAATAACATAGGGAAAGTATGGTGATCAGCCAAATTTTGATTTTCCAGTTTTATTTGTATTTCTTTGTCTTGATAATCTAGGAGTTTAATTTACAAAATTCTGTATGTCTTTGTCAATTTTACATTATATATCAGGATTGGATGAATAAAAAATTTTGAAACTGCAAGAGATTATATATATGTATGTGTGTGGATATTGATGCTATTAAATTTTGTATTTGTAGTTATAGGTGAAGAGAGTGGGAAGATAGGTTGTCATGTCATATTTTGAGTGGAGTCAAACTTAATGAAAGTTTTACTCATTACAGGCATTTACAATTTTTTTTAAAAATTCACTACTGCCTAAAAATAAGTTTTTTGTCTTTTTATAATAATAATAATTGGAAATTTTAATATAAAAATCATTTTTTAAACATTGTGCAACATACAACTTTAACTTTGTAAATTATGAATGTCAGGAAAGTTGTGCAAGAAAACTTGCCAGCTTTTTTTTTATTGTTTATTGCACACTTCTAAGAATATATCATACTTTGTATAATTTCTTTAATATTAATAGGCATACAGCCTATTAGGCATACTGTCATTTAGCATATATATAATAAGTAAACAAAATGTAAAAAAAATTTTGGCATACAGTGAATCAGTTTCCGTATGAAGGCAGTAAATGTGTTAAAGGAAATACATTTTGAAATTCATTTAATATAAATTTTTTGTTATTTAGTTTATTATTATTATTTGATATGCTGCATTATTATATTATGAAGAAAACATTTTGATTTATTATTATGCACAATAACATTAAAATTTTTTTAATGAAAATAAATCTAATACTGTGTTTAATATTCTTACAGTATATTCATCACCGGACATTGAGTTTTGATTGTGAAATGAGAATGCTACTTCATCAGAGTCATGCTGGATGCTTAATTGGAAAAGGTGGACATCGTATAAAAGAAGTTAGAGAGGTTAGTTTAGTTTAAAATAAAAGTTTTAATATTACTAGTGTTCAGTATTATGCAAAATGTGTTGCAAGTCACTATTCAGAAAATATGCTTTTAATATTAAAAAAAAGTGATAAAAATAAAACTTGAATGTTTTTAAGGATCCTTTTTTTTTAATCCTGTGAAAATAAAGCCTGGTCCATCCCCCTTCTGGATACAACTTTGAAATCTCAAAAGAAACCAACATAATTTTTTTATATTTTTGGATTCTCTGTTTTATTAAGAATTTTTTTTTGATGATGATGATGAATATGTCTAATAAGAATGCAATCTTTATATGAGCTAATAATTTCTATTTCTTTATTCAGTTATTTCACAAATGTTAAAACATTTTCATCTAAACCTTTCAGTAATCAAGTAGTAAAGTTTTTCCAAAGGGACTAGTGTTTCTGGTGTTATTTAAACACAGACATCTCTTATTTTGTGCTTCATCTCTTGTAGTCTGTTGTTGAAACAAAAGTTAATCCTTTATGAAATACCATAGGAAATGATCAGTTGGTGACCTGGGTAGCTATGAAATTGGTTTTTCATCTTTCTTCAAACATGTTGTTTAAATTTGCTTTAGAAGTTAATTCAGAATTGAGTACTGCTTTTTAACCACATCAAAAATTGATTAAAAATTAACCATGAACTAGTTTGAAATCTGTTTCAATTAATTAGCTCATAAAAAAAAAAGTTTCATTTTTGTTAGATCAGCACCTCTCAAAACATATAACTTTATTATNTAAAAACATAAATTTATTCATAGTAAAATGTACTCGCGGGCCGTAAAAATTATTTGGCGGGCCGTATACGGCCCGCGGGCCGCCAGTTGGACAGCGCTGGCCTACACCACTGAAGATGGATACTTCCAACAGGACAATGCTCCATGCCATAAAGCTTAAATTGTTTAAAGATAGTTGAAGAGCATGATGTAGACATCACCTTGCTTAATTGGCCTCTACAATCACTGGATCTCAATCCAATTTAGCATCTGTGAGATTAGATCAAAAGAGGATATCAAGCAGCTAAATCTAGAACCATCCATTCTTCATGAACTGGAAAATGCAATTTATTGGGTATGGTGTCAGATTCTGCCAGTCATTTACCAACATCTTGTAGAGTCCATACCAAAGAGAATTGCAGCAGTATTGTAAGCAAAAGGTGGTCCAACAACATACTGAGTAGATGGTCATAATAAATTGGCTACTTGGTGTATAATGTGCATACACCATTAAACTTCAATTTAGCACCTTCATTTGCTTGCCACTGAAATTAATATAAAATGAAGTGTGGAGGTAAACTTAAGTATTTAAAAAAATTATATATAGTAATATTGTATAAACAAACGTTTTGAATTTTGAAGATTGAAAGCTACATGATTTAACATTAACAATGCCTTTTGCAATGCAGAATTATATATTTGATAACTCACATATGGACCATTTATTATAAAAGTGGTGTCAGTCCATTTTTAATTAAAATTCATATTGTAATATTTAAAAAGCAGCAAAATTTTTAATGTGTATTTTTTAATTTTTCCCTGAGCTACTATTGTGGGGACACACAAGTCACAACAAAATATTAAGTTCAAAGAGGGCCAAATATTAAAAAAGATTGAGAAACACTTCATTAGACAATTAGAAAAAAAACCGAATGTGGTACACACATAGAGACAGAATATAAGTTATCAGGGAATTGTAACACCACAAAATACTAAGCAATTTGTATTTTGTTACAAAAACTTTAAAAAAAAAAACTGAAGAAAATGAAGATCAAGTGGAAAAGAAAGAGTTGAATTTTCTTTAACTGAAAATCCTGTGATGTAATTGTTTATGTAAATCAGTTGCTTATTTTCCATCATAAAAATTGAATGTTTGTGTCATTTTACAAAGAATCCAAATAGCATATGCCTTATAAGATCTGTAATTCAAGAAATAACTTGCCAATAGTGGATTAAGAGTTAAATTGAGAATTAATGCATATATACCAATTTTAACTAAACTCTCAATTTAAACCTTACTATAGTTTTAACTCTGTGATGAAATGATTTGGATCATTGTGAATGTTTTTATATGTAGATGTCCTGCTGTTGGCTGTGTGTGCAGAAAGTAAAAGCACTGTGCAATTGCTTGGAAATAGGTGATCAGCAGTGAACACATGCAGCTTAAAGGAAATGTTGGTTATAATTAAACTGGAGTGGTTTAGAGCTCTGTAGATGGAACTGTTGAACCAAAAGTATGCAACCAAATGTGGAGTGCATACTTTTATCTATCATAAGATTTTGACTTCACAAACAGAAATTGTATTGCCAAAATTTTCCAATGGGGAAATTTACATATTGTAAGTTGTGGAACAACTTTAGGGTTTATGAAAGATTGCAAAGCATGTTCAATGTGGATTAGTGACATGTTGAAGTTTACATTACCTGATTATGCATTACTTGTTAAACTTTATTATCAAAGAAACAGCAATATTAGTTTAATAATTATCTCAATAACCAGTTTATAGAGATATGAGGCTTATCAAACTGCAAGTAATCAAGATTACATTGAGAAAAGACTTCTATTAGTGGAATGTGTTTCAGTCCTTAATGGACTGTCCTCAGCCATAACTATGAGGGTAATCCCAAAAGTAATGTCTTCTATATTTTTTAAAAATACAAAGAAATGTTTATTTTCAATAATGTTTATATCATTTAAAGCTTGAACATTTATCTATTTTTCTACATAATCGCCATTTCAGTCAATGCATTTTTGTATGCCCATGTCATACCAGCTTGCCGCCATGTCGTGTTAAACCAATTGAAATTCATCGCCAATTGATGGAAGTATATGGCGAATGATGCATAGATGTCAAAAGCATCCCCAAGTGGTGTAGGGAGTTTGCAGCTGATCGTACTGAAATTCACGATGAAGAAAAAAACACCAATTTCTGACGACACAGTCGCAAAGGTTGAGCAAACCATGCGTGAAGATTGAAAAGTCACTCTGGATGATCTCTGCAGTTTGGTTCATGGGGTTTTCTGAAGCACCATTCATAGGATTTTAACAGAAAAGTTGCAATATCAGGTGTGTGCAAGATGGATCCCACAACATGGTGGTGAGCTGGTATGACATGGGCATAAAAAAACTGCCACAGCGCCTACGAAAATGCATTGATAGATATGGCAATTGATCGATATTTTGATATATTGATATATATTGATTGATCGATATTTATCAACTCTCAACTGGTGGCTTTATGCCACCAGTTGAGAGTTGATAAATGGAATACAGATGTAGAAATTTTGTGATGGAAGTAAACCATTAAAATATTTAAAGATATAGATTTGATTGAAATATTCTATGCATTTGAACAGATCAGAAAAACCTAAATGGGACTGTGCAACATCAGAGGAGCAGCAATTGCAATAAAAATAAATGCAATTATTGCTTCTCCAATATTTTTATCTACCTTATAATCAACAGAATTTGCCATCTTTTCTATTGAATGAAAGTCATCACCATTTATTAACATTAGAAAGTTTTCATTTATCTACACCACCACACTGCTGCTTAACATTTTGATTGAATGTTTTTCTGTCGCCACCAGAAAATAGCCAATATACTTGAGAATAAACTTTTTGTTGATTATACAGGTCTAAAGGTATTTATGAAAAAAAATACTCTATTTTAACCAATCTTTATACCAGGCATTTTATGAGCATTTAGTATTGTTTTATGTTATATTTTAATATGTAAGGCATGATCAACTGAAATCCATCCCAGCTCATGTATTAATACAAACCAATACAATGAATTTACTAAGTAAGCACAAATGGAAACAGCAATGTTTAGGAATAAAAATGCAATACTGTCTAGGAAAAAAAGTCACTCTAGCATTCAGACACATCCCACATCCCACAGCTTCGTTAAGCATCAGGTACTGCCTGAAAAGAAGTATTGTGGGTATTCCTTGAACCATTTCAGTACTGCATCCTTGAATTTGTCGTCATTGTAAAAGCATTTTTCCTTCAGAAATATCTTGAAAGGACTGAACAAATGAAAGTCACAAGGGGACAGATAAAGTCTGTACAATGAGCGATCAAGAACCTCCTGCTGTTTCTTTGCTAACATCTCCTACACAGTCCTTATAACATGCCAGGATACTTCCTCTTGATGGGTTGATGCAAATTGTCCAGTGTTTAAGGGTAGCTCAACTGTGTTGCTAGGCTCTTTACACTCCAGCAGTAGTAGTCCTCATAGTCGAAACATGCTATGAGCATCACCTTTCCTACAGAAAGTAATCTTGAATTTCTTGCTTTTTGATGAGCTAGCATGCTTCCATTGCATACTGGTGTCTTTTCTGGATGGTTTGAAATGGTGGCACCACGTGTTATCACCATCCACTATGTATAGTAAAACATCATTACCATATTCCTTGTACCATCACAGATGTTGCAGATACAAATCTATACACTGTTCGTTATGGTTCACAGTCAGCATCTTCGGAATCCATTGTGAACAGAGTTTTCGATACAACAATTTGTGGTTCACAATATTTTGAACTGAGCCAAATGACACACCAAACTCTGTAGCAAGCAAACATAAGCTTTTTGCTGATCCTCCCTTACAACATTGTCAATTTTAGCAATGAACTCATCTATTGCTATAGAGGAGAAGGTGGTATTATGGAACCCCAATTACATTTTAGTGAATTGTAAACAAGGTATCATAACTACACCCACATTTATGGAATTATGGTATTTATGGTATTATGGAACCCCAATTACATTTTAGTGAATTGTAAACAAGGTATCATAACTACACCCACAGTTTTTGTGCGAAAAGTACCGGTAACTAGTAAACTAAATGTTCCTAATTGGATTTTTCGCTAGTGTAATTATAAGTATGGTTTTTGAAGGCTTTTGTACAAAAAGTCCGAAAGTAGGCTTAGAGAAAATCGGGTGGTAATATGGAACCTTACTGTATATTTTCAAAAAA